TGCAGAGCCTCGGCGCAGGAGACCCTCCCCAGGGGGGCGCTGAGTGGGCACGGGGGGGGGGAAACAAAGATGAAGGGCGGCTGGCATGGCGATGGCGGAGGGACGGGGGGTCTTGGGCTCTGCACAATCAGAGCGTTGCCTGGTTTTAATGAGGGGCCTGTTTGTTAAATCCACTCAGGGAGGCTGTGCGAGTGCTTAGCATTTGCTCTCTAATTAGGAAAGCTAAACAGTCCCTATTGCTGAGGATCAGCCATTAGGGGGAGAGGAGGGGCGGCAGATTGCTCGGCCAAAAACACTGGAGGAAAGAAAGCGAGGGAGAAGAGAGAAGCAATCTAATACAGAGTTATTGTCGTTGCAAACAATAGGCTCGAATCTTTTTGCAAGACGAGATTCGATCTAAAGAGTCATAGCGATGATAAAGGAAGCCACCAAACAGCAGTAGCCTGTGGGGGGGTGAAGCCATCCAGCATGGCCGTCACAAGGAGTCCACCTAGTGGTCTTTAACAGAATGGCAACCGGACGTGACTTTTTCTGGACTGGGTTGCTGAAACAGCGAAGGCGTCGCCTGTTTCATCACCGTCATTATGTGCCGTTTACAAAACGCCCGCGGTAACAACCGGCAATCACAGCACGCCGTCTATCGAGAGAGGGCGCCGTGCGTGGGAGGAAAAAGCACGTTTTCTGAACCCCTCCCGAGAGGAGAAGCCGGGGGAAGAGGATGCTGACAGGGAGAAAGCGACGCCATTGTTCCTCCTGTTTGTCCGCACAATAAGCGTCTCCCTCCCACACAGACTACCGTCAGAGTGCAAGAAGGGCCGAGCGCTTTTAAGATTAAGACCCTGATTACATTTTTGCAACTCAGTTTTGGGGAGAGTGGGATTTCCGTGAGAGGACATTAGGGGGAAGATGTAGAAAGTATTTGCCGGATGCAATGAAATGGAAAAACAGTGCTTTCAGTCCGTGGCAAAATATGCCACTTATTGAGTTTGGAAATCGTAAAAAAAAATAAAAGTGGCCCTGTTACCGGAAATGTTGCGGCTTTCATACAATCCGCATGGCCTTTTCAACCAAATGCTTCCTGACAACGGACAAACTCACTTGGTCGAGGGCGGCCCGGAGCGAGTTGACCTTAATGTCGCCTCCTTGATGGGGAACACCACCTACAGTAATCATTCTGAGAAGTTGTTTCCACTGCCTCGGCAGTTTAAATCAATATTTCTCTGTGTAAGAGCCATATTTGCCTTAATGAGATGTGTTTACTGACTTATAAAAAATGTGTTGAAGTGCTCCTTTAAGTTACGTTACTGATGACATCATAGCCAGTATTCGCCAGTGCGAGGAATGTTTCTTGTAAATAAGTTTGCTAAGTAAATCTTTTGCAACAGAGTTGCTGTCCATGAAGATTCATTACGCGTCAAGCTCACGGCCCACACAGGTTGCATCAGTAGTGGTAACAAGGATCAACGTGGACCAGTATGGATTTGTTGGTGTTCATGTTAATTCATATTTTTGAATTGGCATGTTTGAAAATTAAGTTGTCATAGTTCCCCTAAAAAGGGCCTCCGTTTGCACCATGTAAATCTGAATATACAATAACAATACAAGAAGAAAAATAAGGGATGTTGCATTGGTTGCAAATAACTGATGATGTGGATAAGACGTGTTTTCCAATATAACTATGCAATAAATCATTTAATAAAGTGCGTGTCACTACATGAATGTAATGTCTTTTATACCCTGGTGACCCTCTCTGTTTCATCCTCACAGAGTCTATTTAAATGTACGTCCCCCCGGCTTCCCCTCTACGTGTGATCGGATCACAGAAGGAGTTCTCCGAGCACCTCACACTGTGCCTGTCATGTTCCGCGCGAGCTGAGAAGCTTTTGGTGTCACTCTTTTACACTTCTCCTGTCTCCCCCATCCCGTGATAACAACATTATAGTGACGTTGGCGTCCCCCCCCCCTCTCCTTCTCTGCCCTCTGTTCTTCTCTGTCTCCGTCCTCCTTGTTTCAGTCTTTCCCCGTCTCCTTCTGCTGATTCTCCAACGCTTCAGGTTGTGTTTACATGTCTGTCACCTTTCCTCCCTCCTTCCCTCCCTCCCTCCCCCAGACAGTTGGCGCTATGGCGACTGCTCGCTGTCAGTATTTTTAGCGCCGTCACAGATGGTGCCGCGGCAGCATGTCAGATACCAGAATGTTCTTTATCTCAGCCGCCGGTTCCCCCGGTGACCAAGACGGATCTCGTCCAGTCAGGAGCGGAGGGAAGGTAGCGAGCACGCCAGCTGTCAGTCCCCATTACCAGGCTATTCCCCAAAAAAAGAAGACACACTTCTCTGATATGTGGAGAAATACCAGCTTGCTGTGACGGACCCAGGCTTTAGCCATGGCCTGACGCAGGTCTGTGCACCTCCACGTTCCAGATGGACCCGCTAAAACACTGAACATAAACAGCTGGAAATATCCATTTGAATATGAGGATCTGTCTGTATGTCGGCATAAGTCCATATTTTCAACAAATCTCATGAAACGAACAAAACCAGGAATGCATTTATCACGGCCATAAATTCAAAGACCTTTAAAAACTACCCACAGCAAAAAAACATCATCAATGTTTCTGCTCGAGGACATTTTAATTTTTTCTCCGTGAAGCCGGTTTTCCCAGCAGGCGCAGATTCCGGTCAATAATGTGTCTTTCAACCAGGAGCTCGAATCAAAGCCGAAGGTCTCCTTCTCATTTCCATTCCCCGACCCTGGAGGCGAGGTGAGAGAGTCCCGAGGTGTTCACCTGCAGCTCGCTCGATGGAAAAGACGGGCCAAGTTCTTCTGACCGAAGGGAAATAGTGGAGCATCGGCACATCGGCAGAGCGGGTCCACAGAAGAGCGACGCTGATGACTGTGGCACATTCGGCGCCTCGGCCCGTGTAACTGTCAGCTTCTTTTGCACTTTTCAAAGACGAGATTGCTCGTCATCTGCATAAAAGCTAAGCAACTCAATATTTTTCTTGCATAGTATCAAGATGAATGTCCAAGGTCTGGAAAACTAGGAGTAGACAAAAGTATGACTAAAAAACTCCCAAAAATATTTTTTGATGAAATGTAAAAAATAAGGACTTAAAACGCTTAACTTCTTAACTTCTGCCCATGGCTAAGTTTAATCAAGACTGTGCTTTGGCGACGTTTACTTTGGCCACCTCGAACCACACAGCATCACGATGAAACGGGAGAAGAAGGAGTCACGTTAACAAAACGAGAGCAGGAATCGGGGCCCTTCAGAGGGAGAGCCATCTCTCCCTCAAAACCGCCGACCTTTGGCACCCACGACATTGTCGCCTTTCCCTCCGCTCTGAGGATGCGGACCGCCGGCAGCGAGACTCGGCGGCGCCTTCTCCATGGCTACCGCGATTTCTATCGCCGTCCCCCAGGGGGTCCAAGAGCAGAATGGTGGCGCGGGACGTTTCCATGGCGCCGGCATGCGTGAACTGTGTTTCCACCACTGGATTCCTGCCTGTGTATTTTGTTCGGGAGTCGTAGCCGACGTCCACCCGTTGCAAACATCTATATATAGAGATGTGTAAGCATGTTGCATTCATCAGTCAGAGGGAACATGAGGAATTCATTTCTCCATTTGCACAAAAAGGCCCCCGCTGTGTCCAGAGTCCAACGTGCCTCTCTGCCGAGCAGAGGGTTAATGATGCCACCCTGTCAATGGGTGGCATCAATTTAACTAAAGCTAGTTTGTCACACACAAACAGAACCACACGTGTGTCGCTGCGGTACGTGCACGTGTAAAGTGTTATGCGTTGGGCCAGAAGACGATGGCTGCGGCAGGAACAGCCTGATTGAACATTCATGTTCAGGGGCTAATGTCTGCGATTAGGCATCTGTGGGATTATGCAGTTCAGGTCACTGAGGGGAACGTTGTGTACTGGCGTCCGCTAATGTTGCAGGACGAGCGCTAATGTGTTTGCATACAGAACCTCCATGTCAAGCAGTCCCCCAATATATGTATAAATATATATATGTATATAAATATGGGCATAGATCCCTGTTTGGTAGTGTCTAGGTGTTGGACAAACTGCAATGATGTCCTGTAATGGTGAGCAGTGCTTAAAGACAACAGAGACTCTGTCCTCTGTTATAGTTATACAAAACGTTTGTGTGTCAAAGTCCAGATAATCTCGTGGTAACTAGTGGGGTAAAACGATGTCCTGAGGTGCGGAGCATAATGGCCCACATCCAAGATTGATGACCAGCACTTGGTTTTGCCCAGACCCCCGCCACCCCCCTGCTTGAGTATGTTAATCTGCAGCTATATATTCCAGAGCTGGAGAAGATGACCTTGGAGAAGAAGAACTTGTAAGTATTATTTAATAAATGTCCTATTTAATGATTTTACACTAGTGTGGCGTAAGGTTTTTTTCAACACTAGCAATTGATAAAAGGGGCCGCAACCTACGATCAGAGTCATCTTTTTCATATCTGTTCATATCTATTTATTTTCCTCCAAAGAATTATAGCCCCTGACACTGATACAAGTATCAGTATGACAGAGCCCGATGACCGACTTGTTCCTGAGAAACATTTTGTGTGTGTCACATCTGCAAAATACAGTTTTACATTCAAAATAATAAACTGCTAAAACATGCGGTTGTTAGTTAACTGTGACAACTGAGTAGTCTAACCATTTGAGCAGTGCTTTTTACAGCATTTTTAATGCATAATTCTCCTTATGTATATATGTTTTGTGTTCTTCCAAGAGAACACGATATCACCTCTTCGAAGCTGTAAAAACACCGATCTAACGCAGCAATATCTTTCTTGGGTTTTTGGTGTTTAGTGGGGTGTGAAGCCAAAACGTACGCTCCGCTTTTAGCCAACCTAGCATTCTGCTTTACCCAATTTTATCTGGTGGGGATGGTCGATATCATTATATACATATATTTACTTTACTACATTATTTATCCAATACCAATTAATTCACTTTTTGCGGGGGCGCTGTAGTGACACCGCCGCGGCAGCAGGTGGCGGCAGCACGCGGGCTGACGCTGCGCTCGCCCTCAGGGAAAATATAACGACGAGAAAGATTCAGCATCAACAGTGCGAGACTAGCAGAGGTAACGTCCCCCCCCCCCCCGTCATTGTTTGGCTTGTGCTTTTCTATCGCATTTCTTTAATTGAACCAGAATTGATTTATTTCCGATGCTTGCTGTGTTGTGTGATGCTGTTGCGAGCCGTGCTGCTCCGGTGAATATTAGCCGTTAGCTTTAGCGGTTTAGCTAGGCGAACTGGAGGCTGCAGCGAGCTAAGCTGTCATTTTTCTATGCGTATGTGGGTGTATGGACGCCGCGGGCGATGCTTACCCCGTTATGTGCCTTCAAAATCCATCTTAATTGTACATAGCTCGATAGTTTTAGCCTTGCATCGCCTTTTCCTCAGATGCGCTTCAAATTGCCTCATTTCTTGGCTTTTTTTTTTTTTTTTTTTCCCGGCCTAGATATTTGGCAGTGCCGCTTGTGACAAAGCTTTGAAAAATGGACACAAGAGCCTGGAGGAATCCGTACCACGACTACGATGGCAACCCCGCGTCCACACAGGCGCTGTTCGACTGCCAGGGAAAGGTAATACACACGCATAGAGGATCGGTGTGTTTGCACGTGGTTCGACCTCAGTAACCCCCATGATTTAACATATTTGTGTGTACGTGTACGTGTACGTTCAGCTCACAGCAGAGTTTGCCCAGCGGCTCAGCAGCAAGATCAGCGAGCTTTTAGCTGTGATGGAGAACGGGCTCAAGACTGCCGACCAAAGAGATTGCACCACTTACACCGGCTGGGCAGGTAATAACACCGTTACACACAAAGGCGCATGCGTGACGTCACGCGTTCCGGCTGCGGTCACGTGACTGGGGAGCGAGGGCCGCTCCTTGCTGACCTTTCTCTGCCTTTATGTCCCTTTGGTTACCAGCTCGGTGCGTGAAATTGTATCAACGCTTCCATTTTTCTTCACGATTTTAATTTTTTTCAAATTCGGGGGTATTATAAAGTAGGTTTGGATAAAAGCTCTTTAAGTGCTGTTCATATTCTGTTATTATTCATTCTAATATTTAGTTATCGTCATGGATGAGCAATAAATCTAGAATATATTCAAATTCACTAGGCTCCATCCAGAGAGATTGCTTAAGAAATGAATGAATGATTTGATTAATTCATGTCAAAATAATAAAACATTTTAGTTTCCGTATAAAACCATAAAAACCTGGTTTTAAAGCTTAGAACACTAACCGGTGTCTTATCTGTCCGTCCACAGGCATTGCTCTACTCTACCTGCACCTCCACAACGTGTTCAGGGACGACTCTTTGCTCCAAAGAGCTCTGGAGTACGTCAACCGCAGCCTGAAGTGTTTGACCCGTCGCCATGACGTCACCTTCCTGTGCGGGGACACCGGGCCCCTCGCTGTAGCTGCTGTGGTCTACCACCGCCTGCAGAGGGTGCAAGAGACCGATGAGTGCATCAACAGGTCAGTGGACAACGCGTTTGTGGCACGTATGTCTCGTATATCATTTCATAACATTAAAAGGATGCTGCAAGCAACTTGGTACACCAAATCTACTGGTTATGTGCTATAAGCTGCACAATTTGTGCTACACTTTTATAGATCTGTAATGTTCGAATCAAGGTTACCTATGAAATATATAAAGCAACCTAATGTTTGTTGCAGCAGTGTCTTTTCATGAATATGGTCTCGCTTGAATCAGCTGCAGCAGGAGAGCAATAGGTCTCGTCTTCCGGTCTGAGGAAATGCTCGCTCGTTCAGCTGCAACGGTGTTTGGGAACATGCTACTTTAAACTAAATGCTTGTGATTGGCCAGACTGTTTATCTGTGACCACTTTGATTGGACGAACCGGAGCATTACTCCAATCACAATGGGTGAATATGGCATCTGATCCTGTTAAGTTAACTGCCAAAGGTAGGAGTGTCTTTTTTATTATCAATTTGTGCACAGTTCTCGGTCATCATGGATAGTTCATTGGGGCAATAGTGGGTCATGGCACACGCTCAGCCAGATTGACAAATTCTGTGGGTCTTTGCTATTCTCCCAGACTGCTGCAGTTTCACCAGAACGTGGTGAAGGGTGCAGGCGGGCTGCCTGATGAGCTGCTCTACGGGCGGATGGGTTACCTCTACTCCCTCGTCTTCGTCAACCAGCAGCTGGGGCAAGACAGGATCCCCCTGCAGTACATCCAGCAGGTAAGTGAGGAGGTCTTTGTCTGTCCAGGAAGCGCTGACGCATCATCTGCGAGGTCTTACGCAGTGGCGATAAGAAACTGGTAAAATGGTTGGGAGTAATAAAAGAAAAATGATAAATTTACATAAAAATAAGAAGGAAAGAAATACCCCCAACAGCAGTTTTTGATTGACAGACAGTCAGATTCCTGTGGTTGGTTTCCTTTAATCGGACAGACTTGGTCTCAATTCTCCCTTCAGATCAGCGAGTCCGTGCTGGTGTCAGGCGAGCACCTCAGCAGGAAGTTCAGGGTCCAGAACCACAGCCCTCTGATGTACGAGTGGTACCAGGAGCAGTACGTCGGCGCCGCCCACGGCCTGGCCGGCATCTACTACTACCTCATGCAGGTAAAACGCGTCTCCTAATGCCCGCTTGTAAAGCTATTTCAATATAAAAAAATAATAAACGTAAAGAATACAGCCACTTATTCACTTTCAGTTAACAAATGAGCCATTCACAAGTCGGAGGTTATATCATCTGCAAATGACATTACATTAGTAACATTCCTTATTAAAACTAACACCCCATAATGTAATTATACTCAATTTAAATGTAAATTATCACCAGGCACCAATTCCCTTTTGCAACGGATTAAGGAAGGACCAAACGGGGGAATCAATGGTTTAGGCGACTCTTAGTGAGCCCCTTGTGATGAAATGGAGACCCCCCTACGCTGTAGCCAAACTAACTGTGCCCCCCCTTAACAGCCCGGCTTCGTCTGCGTAGAGGAGTACGTACACAGGCTGGTGAAGCCCAGCATCGACCACGTCTGCCGCCTCAAGTTCCCCACAGGAAACTACCCCCCCTGCATCGGGGACGACCGCGACCTGCTGGTGCACTGGTGCCACGGCTCCCCGGGGGTGGTGTACATGCTCCTGCAGGCATACAGGGTAAGAACTGAGGGGGCGGCGCGTACAGGCAGTTACAAGCCTTTTGGTGTCGCTTGGAGGGGAAAAAAACGAGAGCCACAGAGCTTTTTTTTTTTTTTTTGTGGTGAAACGCTCTCATTTTAATCCCGTCCCCCTGTCCCAGGCCTTCGGCGTACCTCAGTACCTGGAAGACGCCCTGCAGTGCGGCGAGGTGGTGTGGCACTGCGGCCTGCTGAAGAAGGGGTACGGCCTGTGTCACGGTGCGGCGGGGAACGCCTACACCTTCCTGGCCCTCTACCGGCTAACGCAGGACCCCAAGCACCTCTACAGAGCCTGCATGGTGAGCGCACGGGACACAGACGGTACCATGTGACCAGCCTCCATTCTCACTGTCTCTTTCTGTCTGTCCCTCCAGTTTGCCGACTGGTGCATGAACTACGGCAAACACGGATGCCGAACCCCGGACACTCCCTTCTCACTTTTTGAAGGTAGTATTTTGACGATCTTGAGTTTCAAAATAAACTTTCTGTGGATGATAAAATCCTTTGGGGCTTTAGCTGTAAACTCACTGAGTCACTTCCTGTTTGCAGGCATGGCGGGCACCATCTACTTCCTGGCTGACATCCTGCAGCCCATGAAAGCAAGGTTCCCGGCTTTTGAGGTGTAAAGTTCCCTCCCCCACTCCACGCTGTTGGAAAACATAACAAGGAGAAGACCCCCTGCCCTGCCCCCCCTCCCCCCCACACTTTTGGTCTCTGTCACACTCATGCATGAAAGCACCACACTCAATTGACATTGTGCCATGTTTTTTCCCGGTTCTACCGGGAACTTAACATGTTGTAAACGGGACAAGTCCTATACTCGCATCTCAACCACATAATTGTCTCAAACATAAGTCAAAGGTGAGAGCTTGCCTCGGTTTTTCGTTTCCTCATTTGTGTATAAAATAATTAAATTCTGTGGCTGTTGCTCAGATTGTGATTTCTCTCGAGGGTTACAGCAAAAAGGAAGGAAACTAGTTTTCTGGCTGTAAAAAAACAAACAAACAAAAAAAAACACAAAACATCAAAACATCAAAAAATATGATGTTAACTTTAAATGGTGTTTTGTTAACACTCAGCAACTGTATATTTGCTAATCTGTAAGCTCGATATGTTAAAGATGGAAATGGATGCTTTAGTTTGTTTTTGGTTTTCTTTCAGAGTCAACAGCAAAGCTAGTAACAACGCACTAAATATAATGCAGTCCCAGCTGTGCCATGTGTTAAGGGATTAACCCCGGAGTGTAAACTGTTGCCTGTCCTTTGCACTGTCTGAGCAATAAACCATGTGTCTTTTTACAGCTGTCTCTCTCGTGCATTTCACTTCCTTGTGTTTTGATGTGACGGGACGCCGTGGAAGCGCCACTAGGGGGCAGCGGCGAGTCGGTCTGACCTCCACCCTGCTCCAGAAGCTGTTTGACCACCAGCGACGGCTCCATTCGGCAGTAAAATTGTTTGCTAATTGGTTTAACTTCCTAAATCCAGCGGCGATGTAGACGCCGCTTACGAGGCGGTCTGAAAACGCCTCGCGGGGGAATCAGATTTCACCTAATGTGTAAGGGGATTTCCCCTCTGAAACTACACAGAAGTGAACCCAGTTTGAAGGCATTTCTCGTGCTGGAGGAGCCTCATATCACAGTGTCGTGCACCAGGGAGTCTTGATGAGATAGTATTCTGCGGGCCTGGCGTAGAGGAGAAACCGAGCACCTCCAGGCAGGAATCAGGTGTAAAAATAGAGCTCATCTGTCCCGGGTCGGGGTGTGTTTTCACTGCGTCTCACTTGTGCCCTCTTTTTTTTTTTCTTTTTTTTTGCTTCTACTCTTCAGATATAATCCATCCACCCAATCTGGTTTGTTTCCTCAGATGGGTCCTTTTACACAGAGCTATATTGTTCCATGTCTATGATTTAATTTATTGGCATTTGTGGTTTTAAATGAGTTTTATTAATGAAAAGCAGTCTAAAAGGTGATCCTGGATAAACACAGGGCGTCTGGCACGGTGTATCCAGGATCACCTGGATACACCGTGCCAGACGCCCTGTGTTTATGACATCCAAGCTTTTAATGTTGAATCCAAAGAACTTTGCATTTGGGAACCGACTAGGGGGAAGATGGGTCGTGGTTTAGGATTGAGTCAAAATGCTGTTTCCATAGTGAGGAAGAGTTTTTCAGTAATTTCAACAACAATATGGCATGAGGCTTTTATGAGTAAGTATGATGTGTTTTTTTAAATGTTTTCTATTCCCTCCACATTTCAATTTGAAACTGCAATTAATGTTTTCAAGAATCCCCCCTAAATCCATCCAACTTGTTCCCTATAATTTGTCTTTAACAACATACCCCACTTTTTTATGCATCTCCTGCATTAACAGCTCCTTCCTTTTGAATGTGGCCGTCAGCACCACGGAGAGCTCTGGCTGCTCGTCTCATTTAACCTCCGCCGGTACCTTCTGTGTTATCACTTTTATTGGCTCAGTTTCACTCTGATGTATTACAGTGGCCAATTTAAGTTCAAAGCATTGCCTCTGTGATGCTGTGATATAGAACTAATGCGGACTGATCCTCTGATTGGACAGTACATACAGCGACGTCATGCAACAGAGCTCGTGGAATCAGCTCTTTTAAACCTTTTTTGCCCCGCTGTGATTTAACCATAAGAGGAGGAGCACGCCGGCAGGTTAAAAATACCACCTTGTAAACAAACCCCCCCACACCCTCCTCCTGGGACTCAGAGCCCCTCTCAGGTGGGCCTCTGGGGACCCACCTTTACCTCATTTCCACTGTGCATCTCCTCCAGGAAAAAAGGACATTTGAAGGGATTCAAAAGTAGAAAATCTTTTTTTTCTTCTTCTAATTATTCTTCTTCTAAATAAAATAAAGAAAAACCCCTGAGACATGCGGTTATTTGGTTTTCTAAAAATAGCCCTGTCCCCTTCTAAAGGCCTACTCCCACTTCGCGCAAGGGGGACGCGCAGCTCTCCTTTCCGTTTGCCCTAAGAAAGTTAAAGATGTTCCAGCGTGTCATCCGATTCGCCCTCGGAGCCCGCGTGACGTCACACCCCCGGGTTAAATAAGAGGGGGCTCTGACAATGGCCCAGGACCACTCTGTCTCGGGACTCAGGCTTCACTTCTCCTTTCTTTCCGCTCCTGCAGCTCCATCTCTCCAAAATGGTGTGTACATGATTGTGTTTTCGGACCTTGTGGGTGGGGGCGGCGGCGAAGGAGTTAGTTTTTCCTACTGGTAACGAGTCTCCATGGGATGGGATTGGATACCGACTCTCCAAAATCAGATCAAAGATCGGGACTTAATTGGCGTCGCTGAAATCGAGACTGCTGGGAAATTATGATTTGTTGATAGTACGAAGTTCAAGGTTGAGCTTAGTTACTTTGAGCCCAGGATTTATAAACCCATATTTCTATTTAGCTGAGGCATCAATCCAAGGAAGCATCCACCAAATTTATCATTGTTAGGAAATCTTACATGAACTCGATTTTATTCTGTGCAAATTCATAAATCGTGTGTTTTTCTTCATTTCCCTGTTCCCTCTGTGTGTGTGTGTGTGCGTGTGTCCCTAAATGTGCATTTTTGTTTGTGCACATGTGCCTGTTTGTGTACAGGCCGAGGGCGAGTTCACACCTGACCAGATCGAGGGTAAGTGAAGAAAACGGGGAGATGTGTCTCAAAGAAGACCTCGGCATGCTGGGAATAGGTCTCCGTGGGACACGTTGCTCCTCGGAAATGTCCAGTTGTCGAGGACGATTTGAGAAATGTCTATTTTAAGCCGACCTGTCCTCGTCTCGTGGCGTTGATCCCGTGTGGAGGTTTAAGACACGGGCCCGGCGGTGTCCCGTTACAAAAAGGGATCCAAACTGTGACTCCTGGACCCATTTATGTTCAGTCACAAACACATATAGATTATATATATGTTGATGCCAAAGAAAATGCTAACCAGGCGTTTGCGGCCTAAAATAAGACACATTCTGTTACGTTTATGCTACAGTGAAGTACATGTGGCAGCAGGTGTCGATTACAACGCAGTCAGCATTCCCACGTTTGACTCGCCTTGCCTCTATAAGGCCTGGGTCACTCTGGGGGGGGGGGGGGGTATCAGTTTGCTGCCTGAATGCCTCCCGAATGCAAGCGGAAGCAGGAACAGAGAGGGGGGGGTCAGGGGCGGGATGAGGGTACGGGGGGCGGGATGGGGTGCAGCTGTTCCCGCTGTTGTTCAGAGCATTAATCCGTCCTAGAGGGTCACTTTGGCTTCCTGGTTGGATTCATTCAACCTTCCTCCCGCCTGCTCGGGAACAGCTGTCGCCACGGTTATCTGGGAACAATGAGTTAGTTACGGTCCAACGGGGTGTGGCGCTGCGTTGCTCAATGAGAACCCTTCAGGGTTAATAATAAAAAATCCAAAGGCGATGGATCTGATGAGACGCTCTAATAGAGACACTGAAACGGCTCTTCGACGTGTCACCGTGCCGCGATACGTTGGGGGCGCTTCTGGAACTCAAAGGTTTCTCTCCTGCAGATTTCAAGGAGGCTTTCGGCCTCTTCGACAGAGTCGGCGACAGTCAGGTGGGTTTCAACCAGGTGGCCGACATCATGCGCGCCCTGGGCCAGAACCCCACCAACAAGGCGGTCAACAAGATTCTGGGAAACCCCAGCCCTGACGGTGAGAACCCCCCCCCCCCGAAACGCGGCAGGCATCGGTTCCCGGACACCCCGACGTTCGGTCTGTGGAGGTTTACCGTCGTCATCGAACCCCCCCCCCCCCCTCTCCTTTTGTTTCAACAGACCTGGCCAACAAGAGGGTCAACTTCGAGGCCTTCCTGCCCATGCTGAAGGAGATCGACGGCCAGCCCAAGGGCACCGTGGACGACTACATCGAGGGTCTGCGCGTCTTCGACAAGGAGGGCAACGGCACGGTCATGGGCGCCGAGCTGCGCATCGTGCTGGCCACCCTGGGTGAGTCTCAGGTTCGCCGAATATAGAACGCGCTGAGGCGCGCTCGGTTGCAACCCGACCCCCTGACGCAAATTCCTTGTGCCCCCACAGGAGAGAAGATGACCGAGCCCGAGATCGAGGCCCTCATGACCGGCCAGGAGGACGAGAACGGCAGCGTGCACTACGAGGGTGAGCTTTGAAGACGCCTCGTCTTTCAGGTCTTTTAGTTTTTGTATCGCTGTTTCATCCAGTGATTTATGGATTTGTGTCTCTCCAGCTTTCGTCAAGCACATCCTGTCGGTGTAAGAGGCCGTCAGTAGGAGTGCTGATGAAACTGTAGCTCCGCTGCAGACAGTCCAACGTTGTTCAGGACATCTACACAACATCAAAGACCAACCAAGGAAAGACAAGGACTATGTACAAGGGATGTTGAAGCAAACCCATCTTGTTGTTTCTTTTTGTTTTTTCTTTCCATTTTGTCTCAACCCCTCTCCCCTCCTCGCTTCGGGTCATCACCCCTCCATTGAAGACCATCACTTGGCCTCTACTCCACCCAGGGTGGCGCGTCTCCACTCGCCAGCATGGGGTGAGGAACGGGGGGAGAAGGGATGACCGCTCATTAAGTGAGGGTGGATCCCTGCCTTCCCACCGCCACCTCATTCAGTCTCGCCAACACTGGTCCCAGCAATGCCAAAGGTGCTGGGGAATGGTCGTGGACAGGCCGCCAAAATTCTCCCGCCTCCATGAAAAGTTTTATTTATTGTCACTCTGTTCATTTCAGAATAAACTTTTCCAACGTACATCCCACCTGGGTTGATTCCTGATTTTTTTATTGCCGACGTGCCGTCGCAGATATGCTTTATTAAAGGCCAGCAGGGTCCATGAGCCGGGGACTTTTAGTGCTCTTTGTCCCTGGTGTTGTGAAATGCATGGTAACATTACAACAGACGTAGCTTTCTGTGTGCTGTCATTACTTTTATTTATCTAAAGTTATGTCATAGCCACGTGGGACAACATAACCTTTTCACCTCTATTACTGCAACATGGTAACATTTCTTAGGAGAATACATTGTTTATTTTTTGACACCGTATACATATATATATATATATATATATATATATATATATATATATATATATATATATATATATATATATATCCACGTCGTGTTGATATAAATATGGTGTACAGTGTAACTTGTGGCGTCGAGATTAAAGTCGTAAACCTGAAGATAGTCTGCCACCTTGTGGCCAAATGAGGAATTAGTGAGGTGTCACTCCGCTGCTTATTTCATTAACTAGACCTGGACTTTTCTTGTAGTGCAAAGAAATTGTTGAAAGTCACATTTTAAGTTCCTCTGCACCACATAACACACCAATCATAGTTAGTACCGACACACGGAACAAAAAGACGTGTTTTACGTCGTTAACAGTTATGACGTAGTTTTGTAGTCGGGAGCCTTAAAAAGACCACGGAGTGATGCTCTGTTGCTCCGCTGTTGTTTGTTCACGTCACAGACCATCGTAACATTCGCCTCTCAGCTGCTGTCGAACATGTTCGTGAAGAAATTGAGCAAAGTTTGTCTTGTGGGGCTGAGAAATGTCTCCGGAAGAAATCAAGCGGCCGTCAGGTGACGTTTTTAACGCCAATACATTACTTATCAAGTCAGAGTTATCGATAATGGCTAAAAAGACGGACGAATTGACTTCGAATTGTTTGGTTTATGTATTAATGTTCGTTAAATGAAGACTTCATTGGCTACCGGATTATTGGTACATCTATTGAAGGTGGCCCAGTTCTACAGGTAAACTACGTCATCCGTAGAACTGGGTCAACGCCACCTTTGACCCACTTTTGTTTGAGACGTGCAGGTGGACGTGCTCTGGTTTACAAATTCACATCAACGTCAACAACCGCTGTTTTGTAGATTTGTATCTTTAAATCCTGGTTAATATTGATGTACAATTACATCAAACAAACAATTGAATGTACTCCCATGTGGAGCCTTAACAATTAGTCAATTAAACAATCGTTTAAAGCATGAATGCTAAATATCTTTTGTGCAACAATCACGATCTTGTGCTTTATAACAACAAAAAAATCAACATTTGGGATATATTGTCTATTACAAATGATTGCTGGCTTTCATGATTGGTTGAATTCCTCAAATTCTTCCCAGGCTATACAGCGAGGCCCAGGGCCTCGGATGCCCCGCCCCCCCGACCCGCCCCGAGACCTCCAGCGCCGCGAGCCTGATGGACATCGGCACCCGCCGGATCTTCAACGAGGACCACGACATCTTCAGACGAAGCGCGCGGCGGTTCTTCCAAGAGGAAGTGATTCCGTACCACGCAGAGTAGGAACACCGTGGAACCCTGAGCGGGTCGGCACTTTTTCCACACCTCCCTAGAGCCCCCCCCACCTCCCCCCTTTTTTTTTTGGACCCCACCTCATCCATCCAGGTGGGAGAAAGCAGGTGAGGTGAGCAGGGAGGTGTGGGAGAAGGCCGGAGAACAAGGCCTGCTGGCGGTGCTGACACCGGCGGAGCACGGCGGCGTCGGAGCGGACGTGTTGTCGGCAGCCATCGTGTGGGAGGAGCAGTAAGTGGCGCCAACGACTCACGTCAGCAGTGCGGCGGTCAGCCTCTTTTATTTATTTATTCTTTTCCCTCTCCTGCAGGATGTACTCCAACTGCACGGGCCCGGGCTTCTCCCTGCACTCTGACATCATCATGCCCTACATCTCCAACTACGGCAGCGAGCAGCAGATCCAGCGCTTCGTCCCCGACATGGCCGCCGGGAGATGCATCGGCGCCATCGGCATGACTGAGCCGGGCCGCCAGCAGGTAGGAAATTCGAAGCAACAGCCGCTTCCGGGGCGACCGCGGCGTGGCCATGACGACCCTTGCGTCTTTTTTTTTTTTTCCCAGCGATCTCCAAGGCGTGAAGACGTACGCCAAGCGGGACGGCAGCGACTGGATCCTCAACGGCAACAAGGTAAACACCGGCAAAAGAATAAAAAGCAGCCAGGGTCACCAGGGTTGGCAGCTCGGCGCGGCCCTTGAGCTCCCCCCACTGTTTCCAGGTGTTCATCTCCAACGGGTGGATGTCCGACCTGGTGGTGGTCGTGGCCGTGACGGACCGCGAGGCCAAGTCGGCCGCGCACGGCATCAGCCTGTTCCTGGTGGAAAGTGGCACCAAGGGCTTCCAGAAGGGGCGCAAGCTGGAGAAGATCGGGCTGAAGGCCCAGGTAACGGGGGCCCGGACGCTTCGGGAGAGTGGGGGAGGGATTACAAAAAAAAAGGCACCGGTTGCATCATCTCGCTGTTTTCAGGACACGGCGGAGCTGTTTTTTGAGGACGTGCGGCTCCCGGCCGACGCCCTCCTGGGGGAGCCCAACAAGGGCTTCTACTACCTGATGAACGAGCTGCCGCAGGTGAGAAGAACTCCCCTTTTGGTTCTCCTACATACAGTAGATGCGTCCACCTACCGCGTCGATGTGGTTTGATGTGATCGTGAATCTTCGTCCTTTCGCGGCCCAGGAGCGCCTGGTGATTGCTGGCATGGCCGTGGCGAGCTGTGAGTTCATGTTTGAGGAAACCAGGAACTATGTGATGCAGAGGAAGGCCTTCGGCAAGACCATCGCTGATCTTCAGGTCTGTGTAACCGTGTTTTTGAGGGACATCTTCTGGTTTAGGGTGTAGGTTTTGGAGTTGTCTCATTCAGCTGCTGTTACGCACAACGCTCCAAAACGAGTACACGCTCGCTTTAGGAAGATTGAATCGTTTTCTTCCTGTGAATAAATGTCACCGGGTCTGATTCGGCTGCTCAGACCGTGCAGCACACGCTGGCCGAGCTGAAGACTGAGATCTGCATGGGCCGAGTCTTCTTCGACAACTGCATCCAGCTCCACGCCGAGAAACGCCTCGACGCCGCCACCGCCTCCATGGCCAAGTACTGGTGAGTGGGTGGGTTTTTTTTTTCCTAATATTTTAAATAAACTAACCTCGAATCCGCGTTGGTGCCGGTTTGCTGAGGTCCTTTCGGCTTCTCTTTAGGACCAGTGACCTCCAGAACAAGGTGGCCACTCAGTGCTTGCAGCTCCACGGAGGCTGGGGCTACATGTGGGAGTACCCCATCGCCAAGTGAGTGTCAAACGGGGGAGGGGGGGGACACATTGTTCGTACTCCGTTCCGTCCACGAGTCACCGAACTGCTGTCTGTCTTTTCCCAGGGCCTTTGTGGACTCCCGTATTCAGCCCATCTACGGAGGCACCAACGAGATCATGAAAGAGCTCATCGGCCGTTGCATTGTTCGCCGGAAGTAAGGAAGCCGGAGGGAGATGTACTTGTGAGATGGTTTGCGTGCAATGTACCACTGAATTTGAGGATTTAGTGGTTAGGATTTAAACTTTGCAAGAAAAAACTCTTGTCAGCAAAGGCTACACAAATATTTCAATATGGGTTATATTTGGTAAAATCTTGACCATTGCCAATGTGTCTTGGTTGCATCCATAAATATTCTGTTTGTGGCTGAAGATATTAATTTTAATGTTGTGCACCCTTCATTGTCACTAGGAAATGTTGTAAATAAAGATGAATTAAATAACAACGTGTAAATCGGCATTAGCAGCCTGTGTGCATTGGTCTTATTTCCACCACAAGGTGGCAGCAAATGCGCGCACGGACGTGGCTGAAGGACGCAGCGGGCAGAAAGCGGACTGTTGAATGCAGCGCTGCGACTTGGCGCGTCCTCCTCCGGATGAGCGAACGGACGCCCGGATTCATGCACGTTATCACCCACCCAGCCCCCACCCAAAAGAAACGATGTCATTTAAGATGCAGACGAGCTACTGCTCACTGGGTCTTTCTCCATCGTCACCCCTCTGCATCCCATCCACGTTACCCCTCCTCACCCCCTCTCCCCCTCATTTTCCATGTTCCCTTAGCAACAGCCACGCCCCGGTGCTCCAGCTCTGCACTCACTCGTCTCCGCTGCGGACCGCGCGTCCTCCTCTCAGCAGAAAGCAGCCCAAACACCCTCTTTAATATTGACAATGACTCGGCACGTTTCACCCACTCCGCGCACCGCCGGGTGTCCACGCAGGTGTGTGCGTGTGGGGGGGACTGGGGTCTCGACTCCCCCATGCGCTTGCATTTAGTCGCACATTTCCACTCCAAAGATGTTGCACATTTTTATATATAATATCAAGGAGTGGGGTGGGGGGGCACGTTCTAACTACTGCCGCACAATCCCCTCTGCGCCCGTACTGCGGTGTTTACGGTAGCTGAATGTGCGATGGGCGGGGTCAGAGGGGCCCCGCACCGCTCTCATTGTCACCAGGTTCTCTCCACACTCACAAGGGTGTTTAGTGGCGCTCAGCAGCTCGGACCTCCAGGTAAGAGGCGCAGCTCTTTGTCCATCATTTACCGGCTAATGAGGCTTTTTATTGATACGGATTACACTGCTTTTTTTTTTTACAATGCAACACGGTGAAAGTTTATTAACGAAAAGGCCCCGTTGGTATTATTGTTGCCTCTGGCGTCCGCTAATCCTCAACTGTTGTGCGCGCGTCATGGTCAGATGTACAGTTATGCGTGAATTCCGAGATGGAAAAGGGGGCAATGTTATCTCAATGGGAGGGTGGTCGGAGGGTGTCACTTAGAGTCGCTTTACAGGGAAAATGCGGGTGGAACATTAATATGTCGTGCACGTGAAGAAATGTGTTAAATTGTTTTTATTTTTGCGGGGTTTATTTTTTTTTGTGCGCCTCTCGCCTCTGCAGCCTGCGCCTTTTGTTCTGGTCCACGCCTGTATGGTGCTGAAACCCCCCCCCCCCCCTCCCCCCCTTACTCACTGCAGTACAGGAGAGCACACCAGCCTTTGAAGATAAGCAAATGATTTAACGTGTGTGGGTTATTTATGATATTTGAATGATAAGCCCCCTCTTTTAGTTGGCATATTGTCTGCCACAGCCAGTGGCCCCTTTCTGTAATTACCAGCTTGCACCAGCAAAAGGCAGCATGACTTGCATTGATGACATACATGCGTTGCAATATCGTTCGCCTTATTTAGTTGAATTAAGTCTCGTTGGCCGTAATGGACCCTGAGGGGCGGTATTGTCTTTTAGAGCATATTCAGCCAAACATAAGGATCTAGAACGGTCCAGACCTCCATTCGGGGCGGATCGGTTCCAAACCGGCCTCCTCTCAGTGTCCCCGTCCCGCCTCCTTCACCTCGGGAGAAGCAGGGGCCGTCTGGATGTGAAAAAATTCCTTTTATAAAAAGAAATTAACGCTCGCATGAGACTGCGCGCCAGATTTTCCTTGCACATTCCCACAGCGGCCACGTAAGAGCCCCGGTACATAGAAGATATGTAATGAAATTCCCTCACATGCTGATGACGTGAGATTATGAACACGATCGCTCTCGGTTCAGGACATGGTCGGTTTGCAGCTCACTCTGAGGTTCAGGAACTTGACTCGGTGTTAGTTTGAAGCACAATGCACCCTGTTCGCTTGTTTAATTGCAATAAGAGTTTATTTTCCCAAAGCGGTACCTGTTGTATAAATATTCCCCTTTCACTGTGATGGGTTACTCGTATTGATTATTGAATTATGGCAAACCTGAGATGTTCGCAGGTGTCAATTCATCTCATAACATGCAAAGAATGTCCAGAAAGATAAAGGCATCACGCCAGATGTGTTCATTTATAATTCAATCCAGACACAAAGTGGAAAGATTAACTCCTGGACCATTTGAACGCGGGTTATGTGTTTCTTGGCTTGGCCCAAATGGAGGTGGACAAACATACCTACAGCCACACTGTGTGTGTGTGTCAGGTCTCACCCACTTCCTTCGCCAGGACAAACCTCTCTCAGGCCGGATTTGGAGTAATTGAAATGACCTTAATCACGAAACAGCAGGCCGTGTCCGTGTGTTTACCCGCGTAAGCTATGGAAACGGGCCTTAGCCACTTCTTACTTTTCCCACCGCTAGGAAACCCTATCCGCCTCCCTGCAGGGAACCGTAAGCACATTTCCTGAAAGTCGATTCTGGTTAAGCGTGCCGTTAAAACCCTGAAACCACGGAACCGCTGAAATGAAGACACGCCGCTGAAATGAGGACGAGCCAATGCGGCGTGTCTTCGTTTCAGCGGTTCCGTGGGGACAGGATGCTCCCGGGAAGGAATCGGAACGCAATGTTTTGGAGTTGAGATCCATTTCTGGATGAGTTTCTAGATTCAGGTCCAATGTTAGCCGTTACGGGCTCCCGCCTGGCGAGCGTCTGAATGCAGGGGAGGCCGGTCACAGGTTCTTGATGACTCACGGCGCCTCTCCGTCCCCGGCTGAGGCCTTGTGCACGGCGGCTGTCTAACGGGAGCTGGCAGAACCGTGCCCTGGCGCCAGATTAAGTCTCGACCGCGAGACGGACCTAATCTTGTTTTTCGCAGTACGTCGCGAGGCACCCGGCGGCCCAGTGACCTGCATGTGGAGCCGTTTTGAGACACTGCGTTGGGCAGAGAGGCATTAAAAACCAAACGGAAATGGGGGCAAGACCATTGGCATTGGGGCGAACCAACATGCAGGGAAAGGTCTTGGGTAACGGCTAAGAGCACCGCACGGTCCATCTGCGGACCAGATGCTGCCGAAACAGCTGTCAATCTGATTCCTTTTATTAGGACCCTTGAAGCTGATGCGCAGGGCGCGGCCGACGATGTTTCCTGGAGTTGGATAGACGGCGTGCGAACCATCCCGTGACCTCCTCGGCACGTGTGACACCCTCCGTCTACGGCTGACTAGCAGCCCAGTCTCCCAAACCGACCCCGACAGCCGGCGTCACATTTCATTCCTCACGGGCGATGCCCCTCAGAGAGGACACTCACTCGGGGGGGGTAAACCCTCCCCACGCATATTGGCACCGGTGATATTCTCGGCGCCGCAGTGTCGTAAACTCCCCTCGTCAGCCGATCCGCGAGGTCACAGCGGTAACTCGGCTTGAGTACCGCCAATCCACGCCACGTCCATCCTTGGGCCTCAAACCGATCTCCCTCCTCCAGGAAGCTTTTCTTTTTTTAGATCAGTCAGTGCCCCCAAAAGCACATTCCTAGGACATAACGTGCTGGCCGTTCGCACGGAGCCGTTGCAGGAAGTTGAATGCGTCTCCGTCTCGGCGGGGTTATGACATCGTATAGTGCGGCTTTATGTAGCTGACCCCTAATTGGGGCAAGAGAATGCAGGCAACTGGGCTGTTGACGTGTTCTGCGTGATATTATGGCTCTGTCGGTTTCTATATGCAGCCAGCTGGGCCCTGCATCTGTTTTAATGTCCACAACGCACTGGGACTTGGCAGGATTGTGTCGGCCTCGCAGTCGAAAAAGTGTAAAGGAAGTGTCGATTTAATGCCTTTAGTTATTGACTGACAGTAACAATGTGTTTTTGCCAGGTTTTTACAGCTTTAAAAGATCTCTGTCAGTGATCCATCAGAGACAGAACTGTTGAAAAGTTACATGGGACACTGGAAGAAACCATTCATGAGCCCTAGCGTCTTCCTGAATGGTCCAGGGACCTCCACTTAGCCTAGCGTAACCGCTAAGCTACGTAGCGCCGGGTCTTTATGGTTTCCAGATGTTCAAGCTAAACAGCTAGATTGTGTTTTCCCCATCGCTTTGCAAACATCGGAACATCGGGCGCAGTGTGCTGGGGGAATCAAAGAGCCTCATTGTTGGAAGTATTGTTGGAACATACACACTCGGGTTTCTTCATGCATCTATGAACATTTTTCTTCTCCATTGGATCTCAACGCAAGCAGGTTTTTTTTTTTTCCGCCACTTCATCCATTAAGGAATTGAATCTTATGGAAATAAATCTCCAAGGATCTGAGGCCTGGAGCTTCCTAAATGATTCCAGAGCACGTATTTTGCTGGGTAAACGTGTCCGTCTCTCCCCGCGTGCGTCTGCTTTTCGCGACCGTGTTTTTGGATGAATGGGAACCCCCCCGACCCCCGACCCCCCGATTCATGAGAGCTTCAACACACAGCGGCTCTGTGGAGACAGTGTGAGGCGTAGAAACAGATGCACATCGATGCTACATCACGTTCCTGTAAGTCTCTTTGTAACTGGACTGCAGGAACACGGCAGCTGAGTGTGTGCAGTGGACCTCCTGGCCGGCTTCCATCAGTGGGGGGGTTCACCACTGCCGATGTCTGAGGGGCTTACCAGCAGATGTAACATCCTCCCTTAGATATGTAACAGACAGAGGAAGATGAAGTGAGATGAAGGATGTAGTTCAGGGTAAAGAACCTTGCAGAGCACATTTTTAGGATGAAACACATTTAGGTATAAAGGCCTCCAGCACCCTCACATGGCTTCCTGATCCACAAGCCTCTCCCCACCGGGACTGTTTGTGTTGTTTTTCAAGGGCTGACTGTGCCTACTGTCCGCGTTTGGGGGCCATTACGGGCCCCCCTCACCACGGCAACCCCTGCCATGGAAACCAGCCCCTCAAAGGAATGAGCCATTTGAGTGCCAGTGTGTGGAGACGCTCTGTGTTGCTGCAGCTCGCTCCGTATAGGCGAGCGTTCACACGTTTTTCTGTCTTCCCTCCTGTTTTCTTGTTTCCTTTCCTT